TCGGAATCATAAGATCGTTATCATAGATCAACATACCGTAGTAGTCGACTTGCGGAGGATTACGACGATCAAAGCAGTCGAAGTTGGACTCAGTGAAAGCGCGGCTGATCTGGATAGAGCGATCACCACGGAAGTTGAAGCAGATCACAACATCACCATTCTTGACAGTTCCAACAGGCTTATCACTCTCGTCAACAATAACAAAGGGAGGGTAGTTCTGATCGGTCTTCTCAGGGAACATCTTACGAGCTTCCGTAATAGCCGTAGTAGCGTCTTTATACATTCCAACCCAGCCTCTCTGGCACTCGGGATTGATAGCAGGATCAACAATACCAAAGCACATAGCATCATAGCCTCTCTTGACGATATTCCAATCGGAGTTATAACGGTCCATAGTAACCTGCATACGTCCACCACCAGACGCGATCTTGAAGTTGGGACCACATTTAGCAAGGCACTTCTCGAGGCGGTCAACATATTCCAAAGCCGACATCGAGCCAACATCACGACCGTCAGTGAGGATGTGAATACGGACAGCAGTAATTCCCTCCTTAGCCACACCCTGCAGTATCTTTTCAACATGAGCGATGTGAGAGTGGATATTTCCATCAGAAAGAAGCCCGAACATGTGCAAAGTGCGACCAGTGCCATCCTTCAGCTTTTCAACAATACCCGTAAAATTCTTCGACTTGAACAACGACCCATCCTCGATTGACAAGTTGACCAACTTAGCACCTGCAAAGCATGCCCGTCTCTACTATAACATCCCTCACCGTGTCACCTTGTGCCACTAGTTGACCACAGCCGAGAGCATTGTGACCGACTTCCGAGTTCCCCATATCCTCATCAGTCGGTAGCCCAACAGCCTTCCCATGGGCCTTCAGAGCGCAGTACATGTGCTGCCCGAACGCCTATCAAAAGCTCTCATCTCGCCAGACTTAACCAATACTCACCTTGTGGCGAAGTCCAAGCATGTAAGTAGGGTCCGCCAGATATACGCAGTCACTATCATTCTTATGACCAATTCCAAACCCATCAAGAACGATGACCAGCAAAGGGCCTTGAGGGCCAGAATAGTTAGGAAGGCGCTTGAGGGTGAAGTCGTTCGCCATCACGGTTAGCTTAACAACCTGAATACACTGACCTCCCATGCAATTGAGAACTCGACGAGCTGACTCTAAAACAGTATAGCACTACTTATCACGGAGTTTAACACACAGTGGATACTATATCTCAAAGAACTTCGGAAAACGACACGCCACATCTTCCGTAGAACAGGGATGAGTAAACTTCTCATCAAGATACGCTTCAGCAATGAGCCGATTGAAACGGTCCTTAATAACGAGCAATACATGATACAGCAATCACGTTCTTCTGCTCTATCAGCAATGAGCCAACTCGTATCAAACAGGGACTTCAGCCCTCTTCATAAACGGGAAAAGACAAACCGATAAAAATCTTTGGTGGCCAATCCTTGGCCGATTCACGTTCTTCGTACACATACACGAACAAATCTCGACAGTAACCCTAATGTGTAGTAACGTGTAATAGGGCAATGTGCCTTCAGAGGATAGTGATGGTCAATCATGTCGCGCTAAGCCTCCCACTCTACAATTTAGCGCGCGCCATTCTAATCGATATGCATCCTATCCAGCTGAAGAAGATACTCATCTTCCGCACTCCTCGTTCCTAGGCCCACGTTAACCGTGGTGGCCGCGCAAAAGATGTAATTCTGAGATATCCCCCACGTTCATTGAATCAATTCTGGAACTTAGCATCACATTATACGTGTAAAGAGCAGTTCTGGAATCGATTCTGCGTTTCGTAATCGGATAATTGAACGACCCCACTGCGTCGTGTCCATGTTAGTAAAGCACTCTTGTAGTGGAGTTTTTGCAATGTATAAGGCTGAGCCGAACCACGGGCTGAATGACAATGAGAGTCGCTTGCCTGATGGTAAATAGAGTTTTCGTCACCAAAATGTCCTCTCCAACTCGTCAATCGTCGATGCGAAGCGTCAACGGCTTCAACGCTCAAGATTACGAGAGGCCTGGTCTGAGACAAGAGGAAATCGTGGAGTTGAAGGCGGCGTTCGATTTGTTCGATACGGACTCCTCGGGGGAGATTTGTTTGGCGGAGTTGGAGGCAGCGATGAAGAGCTTAGGATATGAGTATCATGGGAGTTTCTGATGAAAAAAATTGTAAAATCATTAGATGTGTAACTGTCTCGTATTTGGAGTAGGAATATATGCATATGGTCAACTACACGTTGATGCCAATGGAGAAAATTTTGGAAAATTCTTGTTTGTTTCGGTATACGTCAAGAGTTCTCCGAAATATTACCGTATACGTCTACCCCAAGTCTTGTATGAATTCTCATATCTCAGCTGAGGGAAGCGAACATATATTCCAACTCGGTTTTTCCAGATCCAAAAGTGAGAGCATTTTCACTATGCTGGCTGAGCTTGATAAGGATGGCAATGCTTCTCTGAGTTTTGAGGAGTTCCTCGAGCTCCTCAGTGGCGAACAAACTGATGACAGTCAGATTCCCCCGGCCGAAATTGAAAAACTCTTTCGCCTCTTCGACGTTGATGGTAGGTCGTGAGTATCATTGACTGTAATTTCGTGGCACGCGGTCATCAGGCAAGAATTTCATAAACGTGCAGGATGTGGAAAGAGTTGCCAAAGAAGTTGGAGAGAATATATCCACTGAGGAGGCGAGGGAGTTGGTTCGTCAAGCTACTCGTGATCCGAATCGATCCGAGCTGTGTCTGAGTGGCAACTGGAAGATCACTAGAGAGGCCTTCTACATCGTCATGACCAAAAAAACCTTCCCATGAAAACCCATAGTGTGCTGCATTACTACGCTTGTGTGATACTAACTTGGCTTGGCGCTCTGAGTTCAATGAGAGGGTTGTCGAGAGTTGGAGTAAACCAGTTCTCTAGTCGCAGCTTAATCTAGGATGTGTACGTAAGCACATAGCGAACATATGGCCCACTTGACGCTTTGTTTACTGCTGCACCTCAACCTACTCTGCATTTAGTCATACTCTAACAACTTGATCAACGAAATCCCGGTGTACATGCGTACACCTTTTGTTGATCGGTCGTCGTTGCGAGTCAGCTATTGTATCGGGGTTGTAGAACACTGGATATAGGGTTGAGTTAAGTTAGCATATACAGATCAATGGAATAGTCTTAAGCTGCAGGCTGAGCTATGGTGACAGCTCAGCTTTCCCCATAGCAGGTAGTGATTCCTGCTAAGGAATCGACGAGAGTGAAATCCTGGACGACAGAGGAACACAACTTGCACAATGAAGCACGCAGGAGAAACCAAAGTGCTTCAATAGACGCTAGACTGATCACATGCAACTAAGATGAGTGAATTGATATAAATCCTGTGGGGGATCATCAGGTCGTGATTTCTTGCCCCCTTGACCCGGAGGCAGGATGCGGAGGTCGCCCAAGAGAGGTGTCGACTGGACTCCAGGCACTGGAGGGCACCCAGGCGAACCTCCCCCTCCTAGTGGACAAGGTGATCAACTGCAGCGTGCTGCTTGCACCTCAGCAGTGACCACCTCGTCCACCCTTTCCCATTCCTCTGGGTTATGGGTTTTCATGACCCAAAACCGGAAGTTCCGGTGGGATTATGACCATTATGCGATCTGACGAGGTGCTCGTTGGCTGTAGAATAGTTTTGAAGGCTGGTTCGTTCTGTTCCGCATCAGAATCTGAAGCTGAGCTGTAAGTTACAAGCTATAGTACTTCAATTCGAGTTCAACACGCGCGCACGATCACCCTATACCGTGTAAATCATGAAAACGCTCCGTTATGAGCTTCTGCCTAGGAAGACCCATAACTCGACTGACCTGTCGATGGCTCTCCTACATGTAGTGTTGACATGGGATCGCATTCGGTAACTCCGGGTTCGGCGTACTCTCTACAAATCGAGGACGAACATACTCGACCATATTTTTGGAACCAGTCCCCATAGCCCAGCAACTCAGCAGTCCTCTGCACGCGGGGGAGAGCAGTTTGGCGAACAGCCAATCCCATGATAGGAGTATCGGCGTTAGCTCGGAGCAATCTGGTCCATCGCTGGGCGACTTCCAAGAAGTCTGTGCTCGATAGCCCGTTCAATATCGACGTTTCCACTTCATCTAGGAGACGTCCATTATCCAACGCTGCCTTACTTGATGCTGCCTTCCAGTAACGCTTTTTCGCCGAACACGCTTTCGCTTTTGAGCCACCACTGCGACGTGTGATGTTGCCAGGAATCATTGATAGGCTAGAAATCCTATAGGCTTATTCCCCCCAAGATAGTAGATTGTCTAGGATACTCGTAACT